TGAGTGAGAGTGAGAGATGGGGAGGCTTTGAGTGATAGTGAGAGATGCAGAGGCTGTGAGTGAGAGTGAGAGATGAGGAGGCTGTGAGTGATAGTGAGAGATGAGGAGGCTGTACTCACCCATCTCAAAGCTGCCATCAATAACCCCTATCAGGTAACTGGGGACATCAAAGCGGCGCTCCAGTTGAGTCACCGTGCTCTTCATATAGCTGCCGGACAGCGTCTTGGCGAAATAGGCAAAGCCCAAGGCTGTCAGAAATGTCTAAACAGAAGAAAGGAGAAACCGAGAAGGGTTGTATTTATAGACAGACCACAGTTTGATGCTGTTTGGAGATACTGCGGGAGGACAGGGCAGCTTAATGTCACATCCCCATCACATCAAGCCGCACAAGGCCAGGGAACTGAAACTGCCAAATGAACAAGTGGGCATGCCTGACATTGTGAGGGTGGTAATAGGACAAGCCAGGTGGGCTCCTTGTTCTGAGCCAGCTGGAGACCCTGTCAAAGGGACCATCCACAGAGTATAAGGGCAACAAAATTTTCCCCATCGTAAAAAAAAAAAAACGACTCTATGATAAGAATGAAAATAAACTCATCTTGTTTTCTCAACTACATTTAAATTGTCAAGTCTTTATAAAAAATCAAAAGCAGGCTGAAAGTATTATTAGAACTAGAGAATAAAGTGATTTTTAGACGCAATATTTTATAATTCAGATGCAGACACTGGGAATGTAGTGCATATTTAGTGTTTAAAAATTGTTAATGCTTTATCAAAAATTTTCTGTTTCGTCAACAGAAATCTAATTCTCTCTATTTCAAAGCAACTTACATTATGTTAGTGTACCTTTTTCAAGACAATTAACAAAGATACGACACATGTACACCTGGCAATTTAATGAAAGGCTTTCTTTATTAAAACCCAGTTTTCCTTGAGTTCGATTCACCTGGCTAACAAGACAATGGCTAACAATGAAGTCAGATTCTGTTCCGAAAGTCAATTAACCTGGCGCGCACAAAATAAAATACCTAGCTGTATAATATGAAGGACAGAAATTGCATGGCACTTTGAATTTAAAAAACAATGACTTAGAAACTATATAATCAAATGCAGCTGTTGGCTCACACGGGATAGGCATGTCTGCAGCATTAGTTCCTAAACACGAGTCTTTTAAACCCATTTTGTAAAAAGCTTGTTCCCCTTGGCCAAAGCCCTGAGAACCATAATGTGAAGAAAACAACATCTATAAATGATGTAAATGTTATGCCTTGAGAAAACAGCAAAACAGACAATCGGAGATTCACTGAATGGGTCTGGGAAACGGGTAAAGTTTGGATGGACGTCACAGATTCTCAGCTGCCAAAAACGCAATCCATTATCTGTGGTAAAAGGCCGTGGCACAGCTACTGGATGCACAGAAACAAAACGGGTGTTTGTACAGACGCTTCCCTGCAGCGACGTCCGCTGTGCCTATGTAGGTCAGGGATCCATGCTCAGACCCCCACGACTCCGTTGACGGAGGAGGTTCCTCAGCACGACGATGCAGACCTGACTGCTGCCCTGCCCCCGAACTTGCCGATGCTTCGCACGCAGTCTCACCGTGACGTGTAAGAGCACTACCCGACGATCTGGAAGGAGAGTGGGAGCTTTTCAAGCAGCTGTATTTGTCAATCTGAGTACTTTCAACATGCAACCCTGCAACTATAATATCTCATAGATGTCATAGATTATATTCTGGAATTACTATGATGTAATGCAATGTAATTTAGATGTTTTTCATGTGCTGGAGGTAGGCTCACTGTGAAACAGACTGGACTGCCATGGACTTGCCACAATTCCGCGGTCCCTGAAAATGCCGTATTGTTCGATTATTGCCTGCACTCTCGATAGCCATCACTCAAATTCCGGTTATGAAATGTCACATGAAAAGCTGTCCCAGGCACCCATGTGATCACATCCTGGGCTGATACAGGTGTGTGAGAAAAGATGGGGGAGGGGCGTGGTCTGTCTGAGGAGGGAGGAACTGAAATGAATCATACTGAGTTACATACAGTGTTTTGTGAGTTTGTATGTTGTATTACGAAAACCGTTAAGTTTTATAAAGCCATGACAGGTAAAAACCAGAGCAGCAGAGCACCTATGAGAGCTGTGATTTTTTTATGTGTACTATTTCCAAAATTACCATAATTTTTTGCCCAAAATGCTCTGTATCCACCAGAAGATGTCAAAATATTTATATAATGCTCTTCAACAGCAGACCTTCATTAACCATGGTTTAGCCTCCAGCTATGGAAACTTAACCACCTCAACATAAAAACATGAGTCCAAAACAGCAGGAACAACAGGCACTTTTAGCCGGTGAAAGACGTCCCACTGCCCGGCACCAGTGACCCATAGACCCAGGCAGCAAGTTTGGGCACAGGGGCAACGCACCAGGACTACCGAATCACAGCAGAATTACTGAAATTTCAGCCATGTCTATTCATGAAAATTATGTAGCTTTTAATACATTTCGTTACATATTCCTACCAATTAATACTAAACAGATTATCTACAACTTTATATTGAATAAGCAGTTGGAAAACAGATCTACAAATGAATGGATGGATGGATGGATGAACTAAACGGACCCATGTGAAAATGAAGTTATTCCTCCGATGGCGGTAACTGAAATGGAAGCACTGCTTCACTGTGACATTACTCCCTTTGGCCTTTTCCCCCCTGTAGCTTCTGCTATGGCCCTCACTGTCAGTGCCGGAGGTGAGTCAGCCAAGCCCCCCCTCACACTGAGCCGTAGCCCTGCCACCGGGTGCACGCTTTCTCATTACCACCGCATTTGCCGGCTTGCTGTTTTCTGTGCTTCTCACTGGAAGTTTCTGGCATCTGATGGCCCCCATTGGTAGTTCTCATCAGGTCAGTGGCCTCATCAGAAGGCAAAGGTATCCCTAGGCTGAGATAGAAAACACTACCTATTACCCAAAGAGTAGCTTATATCCTGTGTCCGCCATTTTGTAATGCTGTTTTAACTCTCAACGGTAGATATCCATGATGCACTGCAAATTGTAGCATACAGGCATTGTATCCCATAATGCAGTGTGAAGGTGATGCCTGATGTCGAGTGACAGCTTGTAATACAAATGTAGTCACATTAACAGGGCTCTCAGGTCTCATGCATTGGCTGGGAGACACACAAATTTCAACTAGTTCACACGCTCACAGGCCGTTCCTTGTGTTTCTCACGCTGAGAAGTAAGGGATACCGGCCACCAAGGCGTCCCGTTATGCAGAATTAATGGACGAGGCTCAGGCACACGGAGTGAAGTTTTCCGCCGAGTTCATAGCTGTCCCGACTTATACAGAGTTAATAGCCACCTACCAGCCAATCATAAAATAGCATTTGTTGTTTCCGGGTGAATTCCAAAATAAGTTACATGTGATCCTGGTGCAAGCACATTATTACATGGATGCGCACATAGATGGAGTGCATAAAAGGTGGGAGTGAAAGAGCAAGATCATATGAATCCATCATTTCTGGTTTCATGTAGAATTCTGTTGTTTTTTATTGAGAGCCTGAGAGACACTTTCTGGATTGTCTTTCCACCACGCTGTAACATGGAAGTTCTGAGAGAAATCACCATGGATACAATGCACAATGCATTCAACAGCTTGGAAACCACCGAAGTTTCTGAGGAAGCAGCACAGTCCTCCAGGATGGAGGATGACAAGGCCTGAGAGCCGTGTGGATTCATATCTCCGCCCCTATTAGTGGACCATGTTCATATGATTGCAGAAGCTGAGAAAACCTTGTCCAGGCTACTTCCTCCCCCACCTTCTTGGGTTAAGCACAGACAGAGTGTCATGTTTGTTAGGGGGTGGAGGCACTATCTCTGACACATGCTGCACATTGGCTCGCCTGGGAGTTATGTGGAGAAGACTAATCAGACAGGCTTCTCTGCTGTGTCACGTAGGCTGAGCTGCTCTGCTGAGCTGGCGTACAGGGAGGACTTCTGCTAAGCTTCAGAAGACAGGCCGGGTTCTGTATCCTGCCGTCAGCAAGCATCTCCAGTTTGGTGAAGGGAGAGGAGCTCATGGCCATGAACAACCTCCCTGTGTCTCAGCTTTGTACCAGACAACCTTTCACTATAGTGATCTAGCGGCCATTCTGGTGTCCAATAATAGTCTCATTACAGAAAATAGCCACTGGATATAAAACCAAAACCACAGATTAAAAAAAAAAAAGATGACATTTATGGTGAGAGATCTCTACCAGAATGTCAGTTTAGACAAGTTCATTCTGGAGTTTAGCTTGATTCAACTACTACATGAAATTCACCCAGGCTGAAATCTGCAGCCAACGGAAATGTGCCAGTCCTCCACAGATTGGGGAGTGTTTCCTCGATGAAATTCCTTGGCATTGATGCAAGAGTCCCTGGAGCATAGCTTGTGTAACCCCATTGGTCACATGCCACCAAATCCCAGTTCACAGTGCAGTTGGAAGAATAGTGTTGTGATGTTGCAGTATCTCATGTCTCTGAGTCACTGGTGGTTTCTCTCTGGATGCTGGACGCAATTTATCTATCTTATCTCATGAAATAGATCTGTACACAGCCATCTGTGGTTCCCCCCTGCCAGCTTCTTAAGTGGACACTTAGACCTGACTTAGACCACTACTGCAAGCATCATTCAAGCCATGTTAAACTGTATCTAATTAGCATGGCATTGAATTAACAGAGCTTACCAGACATTACTGCAAAATCAAGCAAAAACCACAGCAAACCATTTTCTTATATGACCACAAGATAAATACCAAAAGTCAGCTACTACAGTAGCTGCATATCTTGAGATCATGAAATATGCAACTCAGGATTTTGAAGGTTCCAAAAAATGGTTGAGATCACATGGTAAAACAGAGTAGTCCTTGTTACAATCGCCATACCATAACCATCCATGTGACTTTTATCTTAATAAACGTGAGGAGGAAGCTGGATTTAATGTCAGTCAAAGATAATCAGCCAAACTCATTAATAGGCTGCTCCCTCATACAAGAAGAAATACAGTACTGTACTGTACTAAGTTTTTCATCTCTCACTTTCTGAAAGTTTGAAGTAACTGCATTCAATTCAATTCAGTTTAATTCAAATTCAAACTACTGTATTTTTCCCCAGAGGGGCGATTCAAGGCAAACGTGAACAATAAAATGAACAGAAATTTCATCGACACACACAGGCTACAATGTTAAAAATCTACAGACAATATACTGACAATCTACGGCAATCTAAAACAATCTCACTAAAATACTGATAATGTGAAAAAATACATACACACACATACATATACACATACATAAGCATGTGACAATGTTTTAATGTTAAAGTGCAAGTGCCTTTGTGAAGGTAAACTGACCATCTCCTGCAATGTTACTGTTACGTTTCCGCTACACTCCACCAATACCGCTAATCCCTTATTTTTCTGTGATTGATTCTAACACATTACAAGTAAACACAGCTAAGACTGAATATATTCAGCACTGAGGGAGTTTCATGGGCCTGTGTGTGAAAGGGAACATATTTGACCAGAAAGATGCCTTTCCAAATGTGCGTTTGCTTAAAATGCTACTCTCGACACCGTAACCAGGATAAAAATACTGACAGATAAAGTTTTCAGATCACTTTAAACCATTGATGGCAGGCTGGTTGTGTCTTTAGGCATATTTAAATGTCTGTAATTACATTTGCTTCATGCTACTAATGTTCTGCATAGTTAATAAATATATGATTCATGATTGACAATTATGTTCATTTATTATTTTTTTTTGCTGCTACATTTGATAAGTGGAAAACATATTACACTCTCCAGTAAACTGACAAATTTAATTTTAAGTCTGTTTAGGTCTGGCCTGTTAGCTAGTCTGGTTAAGGAAAGTTTATCCAATTTGGTTAAAAATAAAAATTACCTGGGTTTGCCTGAATTTGAGTTAGGGTGTCATTTAAGCACATCCCATAAACTTAAGAAAACTCAAAGACATGATAGTCTTAAGAAGCATGAAGTATTTAGACTAAATGAAACTGGTACCCTGTGGATCCCACGCACAGGCGAGGTCTTTGCAGATGTTGATTGGGGTGGTAGAATTGAACGGGAATGAGTTACAGAACAGACACGTTAAAGCAAATATAACTTAGCCAAGTCCCATGACTAACTGAAGTCACTGGGAGAAAGACTGAATGGAGATTGCTGTAAACGTGTCACCGATATTTTAAAGGAGTGAAGTTCCTTAAAGTCACCTCAGATATTCTTAAAAACATTTCTTCTTAGTTTATGCTGTTTTGGATTCTGTTTCTCTGCTCTAGAGTTTTTGAAACTTTACATTTTTTTTTATTTTCTTCCTTTTTTTGTGTCACCATACCTTGAAATTGGGGCAGCAGTGGTTATGTCCTTGCAAAGGAGAGATGTGGTTTTCTCCAGACCCCCTATCCATCCTCCAAAGGTACAATGGATTCTCCTGGGCTGGGACTCCTGGATCAAATTTCTTGGCATGGATGCGTGAGCTGCTGCAGGAACATAGGAAGCACATGTGACCCTTGCCCCACAAAATGGTCACAAGTTTTCTGAAATTCTGTTTAGACATCCAGCTACCCAAGAATGCCCCATACATACAGTTTTCAAAAGAAATAATATCCTCATAGCCAATTTCAGAAGAATCATATTTACCACAGCCTGGCAAGTTGCAGGAACACCAGTAGAGGTAATATACATTCAACAAAAACTTTAAAGTGACAGATAAAAAGACCAGAAAATAAAAACTAGAAATCCAAGTGTATTTCAGGATCTATCTTACATGAATCTTGGGATTAGTTTTACATGAATCATGTGAGCCGGCTCCCAAGATTCATGTAAGACTAATCCCAGGATTCATGTGAGCCAGCTCCCGAGATTCATGTGAGCTAGCTCCCGAGATTCATGTAAGGCTAATCCCAAGATTCATGTCAGTTGGCTCCCAAGATTCATGTGAGCCGGCTCCCGAGATTCACGTGAGCCGGCTCCCGAGATTCACATGAGCCGGCTCCTGAGATTCATGTGAGCCAGCTTCCGAGATTCATGTAAGGCTAATCCCAAGATTCATGTCAGTTGGCTCCCAAGATTCATGTGAGCCGGCTCCCAAGATTCATATGAGCTAACTCCCGAGATTCAGGTGAGCCGGCGCCCAAGATTCATGTTAGCTGGTGCCCAAGATTCACGTAAGCCTAATCACAAGACTCATGTGAGCCGACTCCCAAGATTCATGTAAACCTAATCCCAAGATTCATGTAAGCGTAATCCCAAGATTCATCCATCCATCCATTTTCTCCTGCTTATCCGAGGTCGGGTCGCGGGGGCAGCAGTCTCAGCAGGGAAACCCAGACTTCCCTCTCCCCGGCCACTTCATCCAGCTCCTCTGGGGGAATCCCGAGGCGTTCCCAGGCCAGCCGAGAGACATAGTCCCTCCAACGTGTCCTGGGTCTTCCCCGGGGCCTCCTCCCAGTGGGACATGCCCGGAATACCTCACCAGAGAGGCGTCCAGGAGGCATCCTAATCAGATGCCCGAGCCACCTCATCTGACTCCTCTCAATGCGGAGGAGCAGCGGCTCTACTCTGAGTCCCTCCCGAATGACCGAGCTCCTCACCCTATCTCTAAGGGAGAGCCCAGCCACCCTGCAGAGGAAACTCATTTCGGCCGCTTGCACTCGCGATCTCGTTCTTTCGGTCACTACCCACAGCTCGTGACCATAGGTGAGGGTAGGAACGTAGATCGACTGGTAAATCGAGAGCTTCACCTTTTGGCTCAGCTCCTTCTTCACCATGACAGACCGATGCAGCGCCCGCATCACTGCGGACGCCGCACTGATCCGCCTGTCGACCTCCTGCTCCATCGTCCCCCCACTCGTGAACAAGACCCCGAGATACTTAAACTCCTCCACTTGGGGAAGGATCCCATCCCCGACCCGGAGAGAGCATTCTACCCTTTTCCGGCTGAGGACAATGGTCTCGGATTTGGAGGTGCTGATTCTCATCCCAGCCGCTTCACACTCGGCTGCGAACTGTCCCAGCGAGAGCTGAAGGTCACGGTCCGATGAGGCCAACAGGACCACATCATCTGCAAAAAGCAGAGACCTAATCCTGAGGTCACCAAACCGGACACCCTCAACGCCCTGGCCCGAGATAGGGGAGTCCACACCCAAGTCCCCATACTCTGCTTCCACATCGGAAGGCGTGTTGGTGGGATTGAGGAGGTCTTCGAAGTACTCCTTCCACCGACCCAAAACGTCCTGGGTTGAGGTCAGCAGCACCCCATCCCCACCATAAACAGTGTTGATGTTGCACCGCTTTCCCACCCGGAGCCGCCGGATGGTGGACCAGAATCGCCTCGAAGCCGCCCGGAAGTCGTTTTCCATGGCCTCGCCAAACTCCTCCCAAACCCGAGTTTTTGCCTCAGTGACCGCCGAAGCCGCATCCCGCCTGGCCTGCCGGTACCCGTCAGCTGCCTCTGGAGTCCCACAGGCTAAATAGGCCCGATAGGACTTCTTCTTCAGCCTGACGGCATCCCTCACCACTGGTGTCCACCAGTGGGTTCGCGGATTGCCGCCGCGACAGGCACCGACTACCTTACGGCCACAGCTCCGGTCGGCCGCCTCCACAATGGAGGCGTGGAACATGGCGCTCGCCATCGAGCCCCACCCCCAGGCCTGGCTCCAGGGGGGGGCCCCGGTGACCCGCGTCCGGGCAAGGGAAAACGTGTTTCAAATATTTTTCTCATCATATGGGGTCTTTTGAGCCGAACTTCGTCTGGTTCCTCATCACCTGTTTGCCTTGGGTGACCCTACCAGGGGCATAAAGCCCCGGGCAACTTAGCTCCTGGGATCACTGGAACACGCAAACCCCTCCACCACGATAAGGTGTCGGCTCCAGGAGTAACCCTAATCCCAAGATTCATGTGAGCCGGTTCCCAAGATTCATGTAAACCTAATCCCAAGATTCATGTGAGCCGGCGCCCAAGATTCATGTTAGCCGACGCCCAAGATTCACGTAAGACTAATCACAAGATTTATGTAAGTCGACTCCCAAGATTAATGTAACCCTATCCCAAGATTCATGTGAGCCGGCTCCCAAGATTCATGTAAGACTAATCCCAAAATTCATGTGAGCCGGCTCCCAAGATTCATGTAAACTTAGTCTCAAGATTCATGTAAGCTGGCTCCCAAGATTCATGTAACACTAATCCCAAGATTAATGTGAGCCGGCTCCCAAGATTCAATCACCATACATGTGACCCTGTAGGCACCCATGCAACAGGATGCTACACCAGACCCATGAATGGGAGAGGAGCCCCCTACATTACCCACCTGACCAAACATCACCCAATTTTGGGTTCTCTACACCCTTTTTAGACTAAACCTGCTATAGGATATGTCATATTTTGCTCCATCACTATAGAGACTTACCACTCTGACCTTCAGCTGCTGGATGCTGGGATTTGGAAATGTCAGCAGAAGCTTTGTGCAATTCCATTGTTCATTCCAAACAACAAGGGAAGGTAAATGGACAACATGCTCAGGAAAGAAAGCACACTGTACAGACACACGTAAGCAAGGACGTAAGCAAAACGGTATTTGGGAGCTTAACGTTATCCTAATGAGGACCATAATTACAGTACAACTATTTTAATGCTAAAGCTGAAATTTTTATTTCTCTTTTAAAATAAATAGCAGAACCAACCTCTCGGATAAGAATCATTCAGTCGGCGTGGAAATACGAAGATAAAAACGCACACAAATAGCTTTGCAGCACGTCTTCCGAAAACGAGACTTCATTCATATACTCGAGTTATTTTAAAACTAAAGCATCACGTGTGTAAAATTACGATATGCCTTTTGGTTCGTGATCACAGGAAGGCTGGAGCACCGAAGGACAGAAGTGACAGCCCCCCGTTCCTGACCGCCAGCGAGCGGGTGGGTATGCTCAGATAAACATCATGCTGTGTAACACCTTAATGCGTAATAGAATACTTAGACTTCGCCCCTAAAATCAATAAAAAAATTAACAAACATAACTAAGATATAGAGAGAACCATGAAAGCTACAGTATTGAGGATAGAGACATTTCATTGCCTATACTTTCTGTTCAGTACCTACAAATACACATAAACCCCATACACAACAGTTGCAATAATATTTCAGTAATGATGGCACCATGCCCGTAATAAACGTCGTCAAGAGTTCCTCCAGTCATGTTATTTAGAATCATCCGTGGTGTTGCATATTAAAACATTATACGTTTTAATGAAACAACTAAATATGCTTCGGCGGAGAAATATTTCCAGCCGATATGCTACTTCGTGATGCCAGATTAAGAGAAAAGAAAAACGTCAATGCAACTTTTAGCGAAAATGTTTTGTGAGAATATGGTATATAACAAATACATAAGGGCATAACAGCCCTAATTAAGTATTGCAGCCCACTTCTGGGCCAGTTGAAAACACAGAACTACAGCGCTTACTGACTGCGCGCAATTTTAATTGAGAGATGCGTACGAAACTTACCGAAGTGTGTTTTCTGGACTGTTTGGCCCCGTGTCACGCCTTCAGTGGGGATGTATACATTTGTAAGTAACCCCGGCAGTGATGGATAGCGCTATTCCCAGTGCAGCTGATGTCACGAACAACCCGCACATGACGGGAATCTCCCATCCCCTCCGAAGACCCCTTCAAATTCAAATCACACCAGCTATCCGGCAGATCCAAAACGTCCCCAGATAAACTGCGTTTTGGACAGATGCATAAGCAACAGCTTCTCTGAGATCCTGCCTCCAGCCCCGTCTCAGTTTGCTCGCTCGGTGCCGGACATGTGGACATAATTTGCGGAGCGACGATCACGGGAGTCCAGTTCGTCCGGCACGAAACCATCAGAACGAGGAGAGATGCCTGCGAAACATAGAAATGGCATTTCAGTTTTTCTAATCTCGTCCGACGTTATAATTTGTCGCGTATGATGTTTGGCAGCAAAGGAGCCGCTCAGTAAAACTGCAGGACGACCGATATATGAGTAATATAGAAATATTCCACTTATTTGACCAGAAACCCGTTTTATGGCAACGTACACCTGGCGCACTATACACACATAACTAGAAGTTGTAGGCATTTATTTAGCATAAAACCTTCCAGAATTAAAGAGGTGCCAGTCTTACTTATTGTATAGGCTTAGTGTTGTATTTAATGACGCAGTTATGCGCGATAAATTTAGCTGAAGGCAACCAGGGTAGATTTCTCTACTTTGTGTAATATGATCAATTTACTTAAACGGCCTGATATCGGGGTTACTGTGTAAGAAAAACGCTATAAGATGCGTCATATATTTTTATGGCAGCTGGAAGTAATGATATGTGCCTCTCAGTACAGCAGATTATTTTATAGTAGCTAGCTATTTCTTGCCCACAATATGAAGTTTTATTTAATATGATGCATATTTGCAATCGAGTTATCCTAGATATGATTGTCAAGGTTGAATATCAGCATTATAATTGTTTTGTCCCAACAACAACAATAAAAATTACAGTCAGTGTATATTCTCTGAGCCCTATGAAAACAATGTTATTACATAGTCACAGGAAAAACAATACAAGTAAATGGGACAGCCAAACAATACAAACTGCTTAAAGACGCCGATTCACCCAGCAGCGTATCTGTGGACTGAGGGAGGCCACCTGATTAGCATGGGACAGAGCATGGAAACACCGCATACTGGGGTATGGGATTCTGGGTCCAGGACAACACTAGGTAGGGCCCCAGTAAAGTGCTGGGCCCCCTGACTCTGCCGGGGTATCCGTGCCCCTACTGCACCCCTGGGTAGGGCCCCTGTAAAGTGCTGGGCCCCCCGAATCTGCCAGGGTATCCGTGCCCCTACTGCACCCCTGGGTAGGTCCCCTGTAAAGTGCTGGGCCCCCCGAATCTGCCGGGGTATCCGTGCCCCTACTGCACCCCNGGGTATCCGTGCCCCTACTGCACCCCTGGGTAGGTCCCCTGTAAAGTGCTGGGCCCCCCGAATCTGCCGGGGTATCCGTGCCCCTACTGCACCCCTGGGTAGGGCCCCTGTAAAGTGCTGGCCCCCCCCTGAATCTGCCAGGGTATCCGTGCCCCTACAGTGCCCTTGGATAGGGGCTCGGTAAAGTGCTGGGCCCCCTGAATCTACCAGGGCCCCTCTGATGCCCCTGACCACACTGGCCATATGTCTGTGTGCAAAAGACACAAGTTTTCTGTTGAAAGTTTGTCAAAATATCTTGTTGATCAATACTGTGGTCTTCGCTTTCATCACAGAAAATCGCACTCTGGACAAGTGCAAGTTAAATCACCTTGAATAAAGCTTGAGGAGAATACTTTTTCCACAAGCAATAAGATTTCTCAACAACAGCTACATAATGGAATCGACTGCTGCCCTCTTTCACACAAACTCTCTGTCTCTCTCCTTGTACATCTCCCCCTCCCTCTGTCTCTCTCCTTGTACATCTCCCCCTTCCTCTGTCTCTCTCCTTGTACATCTCCCCCTCCCTCTGTCTCTCTCCTTGTACATCTCCCCCTCCCTCTGTCTCTCGCATTTTTGCTTGCTGCCATGGGCATTTGCACGAATTACACAGTGTTGTGTTGTTTTTGTCTTATTGCTTTTTTGGCATTTTATATTTTTATATTTCATATATTTTATTACACCCTTTACGCTTCAGATGTATTTTACCTAGTATAATATATAATATATTCTCTATTTTTATAGCAATGTCGGTGAATCTAGCAGAGCATGCATTTCACTGTATGTTGTACAAGTATGACTGCATATGAGAAATAAAAACTTTGAACTTTGATTAAAAAACAACTTTGATACTTGAACTTTGATGCATCTGCAGCACAGTACCTGATAAGCAGTTCAAAGATGGATGGATGGATGGATGGAGAGAACGATGGATGGATGGATGGATGTTTTCACATCAGTAATATGTAGATAGTGAACTGGAGCCTGTTCCAGGAATCACAGGCCAGAAGACAGGGTGTCAGTCCATCACAGGACACAGACCCACAGGTGACAGGGTG